GAAATATGTTATAAGACAATCATAATATATTGCTTGTTTCAAAATGAATTAAATTTCAAAAGTCTTAATATGAAAATAGTACATAACAGTGATAATAAATATGATAATTAGCTTGATTTCATCATTAAATATTTTAAATGTATCTTTATAGCTATCACTGTATACATCTAAATTGTCAAGTATCTTTGTTTATTACATATTCCTTATTAAATATTCTTCTGTGTTAAATAGCCTAAGACTTTAGCAGATTTTGGTCGCATTGTCCTAACTCGCTCCGGTTCCTCATGGTATTGTTTGTTGGTTTTTTGATATACTCAATCCCCTCTCCCTACCCTTTACCTCATCCATTTTTTTGGTAACTTGTCATTTAATAATGGTTGCAATTAATTACTTTAAAGTATCTTACGAGTCCTAGGTCTCTTATCAAATTAAGGTGAGCTCTAATCATATTAACGTGAGTCCTAGACCTCTAATCATTTTACAGTGTGAGAAATTAAAGGCCAAATAAACATCTTTGCTTCTGTTTAGAAATTCCAGTTACTGGGCTTCAATATAAACAATGCTCTTGAAGCAAGTCTAAGATTTATGCAATTTTCTTACAAACAAATAAACAAACAAAAAACATTTTCCAGGGAGGAAGTTCTTCAGCAATTGACTTGGGAGGAACAGAAGTCTCGCTGTTGATGTCAATTTTAGCCCAGCAATGAAGGTGGTATTTGTATGTATATTTGATTTTCAGTTCAAGACAGAGTATTTCCTTGTAAAATAGACTTTCTTTTTCAGTACTGTCTCCTTGCTGTGCCGGTGCCATAGTCCACAGCCTCCATGGAATGCGCCCTGCAGAGCACCAATTATCTTTTGCCATGAGAAAAGAAAGGCAGGTGTTTTAATGAAGGAAATAATTTGGAAAGGTTAAAGCATTGAAACCAAGTTTCACATATTATGCTACATTCAGTCTCCATCTTCAGCGGTAGTTGATGCCTCCAGCTGGGCTGGGCTCAAGCTCGCGCTACTCCGCAAGAATTCATCTGCTCCTGCAAAGCCACAGAAGGGCGCACAGTGTACTCAGTGGAGCTCGTGCCACTGTCTTTCTTTATTTTTCACTCTCTCATTTTTATTTTATGTATGTATATATTCAGAAAGTAATCTCCTTTCTTTAGTGAGAGGCAGATTTTGTTCTATTTGTTCTTTAACATTTTTGTTTGTTTCCCTGAAATATGTCAATAGTTTACAAATGTATCAAGCAGATAAGAGAGTGCAATTCCTAGAGATAAGTGTATCTTAGGGTTAGTAAATTACTTTTTAGTGTTTATATTTTTTCCATTCTTCTCTGGAATTATGTATTTCCTTGAAACATTGATGTATGTAAGAAATGAAATCAGTTATAAGAATAAATTGTTGAAGAGTCTAATTTGCTTTTGATGTATGTATATCACCCACGATGGGGTCATTTATATCTGTCAGAATATGCAATTATTTTCATGAAGATATTCAACATACAATTCTTGGTAAGAAAAAAAAACTAACAGGAAAATAATTGTATCTACATTGTGATGTAATTGACCATTAATGTTTTATTATAACTAAGATTTATTAAAATAAAATATGCATCAAATGAATGTATGTTTATTAATTATTTCTGCCTGTTTGTGAGTTCGTGGAGTTGTATCCATCCTGGCCACAGAGAAGACCCTGTGGATGATGATTTTTTTTTTTTTTTCTCTTTTTCGTTTTTATCGGTATCAGGGATCAAACTCACGACTGCCTGCTTGCAAGACAGCGCTTATGCCGCTGAGCTAAATCACCAGCCCGTGGATGATGATTTGATGTAGCAGAAGGCAAATTTAAAGTTATAAGACAGGATCATGCAAATGTAAATGTTTTCTTCAAAAGTCATCTCAGTTTTGCTGCCACTTATTAAAAACTATAAAGATTTTGTCTATGCATGCATTATTTCATTGTATTCTGTTGAGCGAAAAAAGTCACTCCTTAGGCAATTAATTTTACATGCTATTTGAAAGACTTCACTAAATTAAATTTGGTAAACATTGTGAATAAGACAAGGGATTTTGAGTAATTAAAATAGACAAAATAATGTAATTTTTTTACAATTCAGTAATCATACTATAATATACTGGTGAAAACAAGATGTGAGTTATTATTTTATTGTAGCTAAATAATGGGAATTTAGTTAAACACTGTTATGTACTAGTGTATCCAATGTACTTAATAACAAACTTTACTCTGAAGGTGATTTTCAGTAAATCTTTTACCTTTTTATAATTCTCCCTCCCTTCCCAGAGAGTCTACAAAGTTCTTTTCCAAATATTATTAATATAAAGGACATTATTTACTTTACAACTAGAGAATATAAAGTTATCAATCTAAAACACATAATTTAGTGTCAATTGAGTTAATCTTAACTTTTTCCAGTTAATTAATTTAATATTTTCTGAAAGCATACCACTCCAGTAATGAAGTATTCATAGCTACTTGTTACAGTTATTTAAATACTTCTACAAATGTTCAGAGCCTGTGAACAATTAAGAGGAGTATATTTAACTCATGAATGAATCAAACAATATTTAATATTTTCCCTGAATAGTGTAACCAGATAGCTGTAGCATCACAGTTTTATTCCAGGTAAAGATCCAGGTCTTTTACATAATTATATTAGTCTGAACACTAGCTTGTTCTCTTAACTTACTAGTTTAATTAAGAGTTTAGACAACATCTAGTTAACAACATCTAGTTAATATATTTAATTCCAGTTGGTGAATGTAATTAATAAGAACTTCATAAAACTGAGAGCATAAATATGCTATTCTTGATGAATGTTTACAAATATTTGATCAAGGAATAAAAATTAGTAGAACTATAAAATTTTAGAGCGAGGATGTTAAGAATCACAGAGGAAAAGTAAAATTTTATTTTTTGAAAGATTATATTTTGAAAACAACGTAAATAGGACTGAGAGTGTGGCTCAGTATAGGAGAATTTTGTATAGCATGCAGGAGGACCTGAGTATACACTCTAGTACCAAAATTAATTAATTATTTTTAAAAAACAATAAAAATAATTATTTTTAATAAAAGCAGTATAACAAGATGAGTCTTATAAATTTCTATTTTAAGATTGACTTATCCAAATTAGAGGATAATTTCACTTTTTGTTTTATATTTACTTATGCAATCTTGGATCACAGAAGGCAATGAATTAAAATGAAGCTTAAGTTATTTTGCCTCTTCTATTTAATTTAATAATCACAAAATACATCAAATACTAACCAATTTAACCTATATGGAAATCAAACCACAGAAAATTGTCTGCTTTATGTTTTTGAGAAAATATTTCTTACATATGTATGTGCAATGGTCAGCTTCTGTACATTTCTCCAAGCTGCAACAAAAATGTAAATATGTAAAAATGATAAATGCTGTACTATGCTAAATGAACTGAGTTCCCAATATCAAATAATGTTTCTCTTTAACAAAGGGTTGTATACTTCTTTTTCATCCATAATAATAAAACGTTAGAATAGTATAAGATATATCTAGTAGGGGAATGTGATTTAAATAACCAGAAAATTGTAATTAAGGTAAGAATTGAATAATATAAAATTATACTTTGCAGGGATATAAATCAGTGGCATAGCATCTACCTGGCAAGCACAAGGTCCTGATTTGATTCCTAGTATCAAAAGCATATTATATTTTGTGTATTTCTGTTTTTTATATAGCTTATTTAAAGATCTGGAGAGGACATTTAAATAGAAAAATAACAATAAAATCTTAATGTAGAAACAATCTCTGATTGTGTGAGAAGAAAATACAGGTCACTCTGACTGAACTGCACTAATAGACAGAGAAATTCATTCTGCAATGGCATGCTATATTATTTCAAATTTGCCTATTTTACCAACTCCAGGTGTATACTTGTAGATAGTTCAAATTTTTATTTCTACAGAAAATTTCTTATTGTCTAAATGATTTAATAAAGTATTTTAAACAAATTTGGATCAATGAGTAAACTAAATGATATATACTCAACCTTTGAATAAATATTTATGTTATATGAATACACTGATAAATCAAATGTAACTAACCTCAAATCATTCAAAAATTCAAAGATCACACATTTCTAAAAAATTAAGTTGTGAAAGAGACTTCTCATTTGAGCAATCTTAACTTGTTCTGCTTTTTATAACTTTGTCCCCAATAATACCTTGATATAACTTCACTTTCAGAATTAAATAAAATTGGAAGATTGTTATTTCTTAATTATTGCAACACAAAATACTCAATCAACACACACATACTTTAGCCTTATCACAAACTCAGTGATGACCAAGCTTAGCAGATTGAGACAGATGGAAATGATATCATTTCTATTGTTTTGGCTTAACTATGATAATATTTTCACAACTGATGCTCTCACTATCATCTTGTACTGATTTCCAGTTTAATGTCATTCTTGTATCCTTTTCAATCAATCTGATTTTATCATTGCATTAATTGAAGTTATTTTGTTTGTACTTCTGATGAATTACAAGCACATTACTTTATTGAATGCTGTTCAATTATACAGCATATTTTTATATTCTATCTCAGCTTTCCACAGTTTTCTTTCTGCTATCATTCATAGTTTCCTAAGTCATGTGGAATACTTAAAATATCCAAAACATAAAACATGATATCTCAGTTTCGATGGACTTCATAGACATGTACGCTTTCTTTCTATGTCTGAGTGTTAATCTATTTCATGCAGTACACACACACACACACACACACACACACACACACACAGTCTCAAACAAAAAGGCTATAAGAAAGGATCTGATACATCTCCGTGAAATGGCCTTAATTCAGTGCTCAACACTGAAAAATTATTACTTAGGAGTGAAAATTAGTAGAATAAATAATTACACATATTATTTCTACATTATAAATTTTGCCATTTATTGACTTAAATGTTAACTAATTAATTGATTTTTTTTTCTTCAGGGACAAGCACAAACACAGACCCCCCACTACCACAAAGTATGTAGTCTCGTTTCCTGCACTTGGGAATCACAGGGGTCAGCATATCTTGAGTACAATGTGTAAGCCTCACCCATGGAAAACCATTTTTGTGATCCTGTTATCACTCCTGCAAGATAAGTACACTAACTGATTCTTGAGAAAAGTATTCAAAATTTCATTGTAAAAGTCATGAAGCAAAAGTAACAATCAGGTTTAGTTAAGGAGAAACGGGGAATCTTTTATCTCAGAGTGACAGGATTTCTTGTTCCTTCAAACCTTTGTTTGTCTTCAATTTTTGTAGTATGTTCTAAAATTTTAAAGCTTATAACAGAATTATTATTCTCATGAAGAAAACTACCATCTCCAAACTTACTAGAAGGCAGTAGCATCTCAGAAGACGAAGGCCACTCCTGGTGGGATGCAGATCCTATCTCCCTTCCCAGCTCATTCTTGATGTTCAGTGCCTTTTGCTTGCCTGTCATCAGCAGCCATCTTTCCGGCCATGCCCATTTTGGACTGAATTTTTTACAAATACAAGCCAAAATAAAACTCACCTCATCGCACACTGTTCAGACTATTCCCTTGTGTGCTACCACTCTATACCTGCTCTGTAAGAGGGTGAAAACAAAAAAAAACATAGTCCAAGTACATTTTCTCTCTCAGACATCTCTCAGGTCAGCTAGCATCTGAGCTTTCTCTTCAGATTCCTAAATACCCGGTTTTTTCCAACTCACAGAATTTTAACTTTAAATCCCTTGATAAGAGGCCATCCTACCCTTTGGGGGATTAAATTGACAAAGCTTACAAGTTTCCCTTTACTAGGAGACAAGAGGTCTCAATTTACACTAGTGTTTTATATATGCTAACTAGGGCTTATACAGCTAACCTTCTCTTTTAGGTATTCAACACCTAAAGTTTCCAAACCAGAACTGGAGAGTTAATTGGGCTAAGAAATGTTTTGGCCCTGGCCATTCAAAATCAACTAGGATACAGAGCATGGGATTGAGGGTTTTAAAGAGCGTGTCCCTAACTACCAATTTTGTAATTATGATTCCCTTCAGCCTGAAGTACCCAGGACTGTCTTTGTGCCCAATCCTCATGGCAGTTTGAGATGCATCAAAGGGTGGGAAATATTATAGACAACTAAGGAAAATATTCTAGGCATTCAAGTGGGACTGAATCCTACAGAAAGTCAAGACAATGGTGTAAAACACAGCAAAACTATAGCCAGAGATGCATTTGTTAGAAGCTAGACTTCAAGATAACAACAAAAATAATAGGCCCACATACTCTCCAAGGGATGAGAATAATGATGACACCTAGTCTAATAAAGCCTAGATATGTGTAGATCACCTCAAAGTGCAGCAAAGAACCTCAGATCCATCTCCTACCTGAAAAGTTCTTTGATTTTTCTTTTCCTGATCACTGCACAATTTACTTTTAGGTAATAGTTTTTCAGTATTACCTAAACAGCTACAGTTTTAATCTTCATGGTTGATACACATGAAATTAGATTTAACTTATATGGGAGGTCCCAGGGACCCCTCAACTGTGTCCTTCTCAGACCTTCTTGGTTTTGTGATTGAAGAATAACCCTGCCCAAACATCTCAGAGAGTCCAAACCATCTCAAATACAGAACTTCAGTTAATTCTTACAATACTGGGTAAATTCATTTCCTTCAAATCCCTTAACATTCAGATTCCCCTAATACAAAAGTCACATGAGTCCTATAGGCTGGTATAGATATCTGCACTGTTAATCTGATCATTCCTCTCATACAGCCACAGTGCATAACAGTTACACAGTTTTCTTTTCTGTTACTCTAACACTGATTATTTTGTTTTTGATTTGAAAGATGCCTTTTTTCACTATTCTCTGGTGCCTCTCTTCACAGCCTCTTTTGCTGTCTATCTGGATAATCCCTGATCTCCTCAGGTAACAGCTGACCTGCACTGTCTTGCCGCAGAGTTTCTGGGACAAGCCATACTACTTTGATCAAGTCCTTTCTCATTACTTGTTTTTCCTTTCACCTCTCTTCTCATCTCATACAGTATATTAGATGATTTTCTCCTCTGCAGATCCTCATATGAATTGTCTTGTAGAGACATTTTATTATTACTATATATAGACTCAAAGGGATACCACATAACTCTCTCTAAGCCTCAAAAGTCCATCCTATCCATCACCTATCTGGATATTATTCTTCTCTGCAATTCCTGCCTCCAGACTGTCTCCACTTGATCTCCCTCATTTCAGTCTCTATCACCAAACTTCTATCACCAATCCCTCTTATTTCTGGACATCTTAGGATTCTTCTGCCTCTGAATTCCTAAATTTAATGTCCTTATAGACCACTTAGAAAATTTAAAGGGAGACCACACTGTCTCCTAGATGATAAAACCTTTCCTCATTGTTATGGCTTGTGTATACATGTCCCCACAAAGCCTCATGAGATCTTGAAAAGACAGGCTTTTCAAAGGTAGCCGAATCTAGAGTTTGAGATCCGTTCCTTGTCTAGTGCTGGTATTAGTAGTGTGAATGCTGCACTCACCCTTGGGGCAGTTGTCTGCGTATAATATAAGAGAAGGAAAGAGGCTTGCTTTTCCCTTTTGCTTCTTTTGTTCTCATTGTTTTTGCTGTCTTCTGCTACCATGAATTGCTGCCCCTCTGACACACCACTTTGCCTTGGAGCCAGCTGATTATGGAAACTTCCACAAACTGAGCTAAACAAACCTTTCTCTCTTTAATTTTAGGAATTGAGCATTATGTCCCAGCAATGAGAAAAAAAGTGACTGAGATGGAATCACTACCAGAAAAGTGAGTTCCTTGTTGTGACTATACCTGACCATGTGCATCAAGAATCTTGGAAAATTGCTTGTGGGAAGTGTTTGCAAATGTTCTGTCACCCGAAGAGGAGCAGTGTTGAAACTCCTTAGGATGTTCTATTTGGAAGTTTCTAGTCACAGCTCAGAACAAAATGTTGATAGAAATCCTGCTAGTAAAGACCGGACTCAGAAGTTTTCTGTTGGGAAGAAGTACTGCATTGGCTGTTGAACTCCAGATAATATATATTATTACCTGGCAAAAAGTTTTCCTGTATTTTACTTTTGTACAGACAATTTACCTGAGACTGAAATTAAGAGTGGTGGACTAACTAATCTTATAGGAAACATTTCAAGGCAGTTGAGCATTGAGGAAGTGGCTAGGCTCTTATTTGGTGACTTTTAGCCAGATTTATGTTGTGAATAAAGAGCACAGAGCCTCTCAGTATGCTTTAAAATGTTGTGAGCTTGGCCAGAGGGAAATCTCCAGTAAAGTTGGGGATAGAACAGAAGTGATCTCAGTAGCTGTAAAGGAAAAAGAGAATATAAAGGATGGCCTGAGGGCATCATGAGAGGCAGCAAATACTCACCCTTTGCAGCCTCAAAATTGTGAAAGTGAAAGACTTCTCTGAGGTGAAACATACAGAGCACCATGTTCCAGAATGGCAGCAGCTGCATCAGGTTCCATGATGGAGTCAGAATAAGTTGTTTCTCAGAATTGAATTCAGAGGGCCCAGTAATCTAAGATCTTGACCCCTAAACTCAAGAGAGAAGGACGTTTAGCTACTACTCCAGCTTGTAGTAGATCTTGGCATCATCCACATGTGCTGGTATTAGGCATATGCAAAGTAAAAGTCATAGGGTTAAATTGGGCTCCACCCTGATTTCAGAAGTGTGTCTGGGAAGCCACAAAGTGTCTGCTTGAGAGGGAAATATGTGAAGTTGTGAAGGTGAATCCAAAGGTGCAGCGGAGATCCCAGAAAATTGGAGAAGTCAGGCATGTGGATTGTCTGAGAAAAACTGCAAAGAGGGAGCAGAGCAGACCCAAGAGAGAAGCCATAGGAACTACTATTACTAGAAGTAATAGTAGAAACTCATAGAGGTGAAGTCAGATGAAGCTTAAAATTTACAACAGATTGCCTTAGATGCTGCTCATGGAATGACAGGACTTAATGTTTGCCCTGTTGGAGTGTGGACTTTGTATTGTGGACCCATTCCTTTGTATCCCTATTTATGACATTTGGAATGGAAATATCTATCCTGAATGTTGGAAGTATTTAACTTTCTTTCCATTTGTACAAGGGATCACAGCTAAGAATTTCCCTTACATCTCAAAGGAGACTTGGGACGTGCACTTTTCAACAATGCTGAAACTCTTAAGATTTTCATAACTCTTAGAGGCAGACTAGATACTTTTTGTATTGAAGATATATGTAGCCTTTGGGGGCACAGGGTCAGGATGTTATGGTTTGTGCCTGAATGTCCCCTCAAAGCAACACTCATCGTCTTCTCATGCCATAATCTTTAAGTCTCATGTCTTCCTTCCACTTTTCACATTTTGTCTCCATCCTCTCCTGCCTTTTTACCTGCCTACCCGCAGTGACAGGGAGGTCACGGGAATGTGGGCTTTTCAGAGGTACTGAATGTAAAGTTTGTGATTTGCTCATCATCTGTTGCTGGGATTGCTGCTGTGGATGCTACTACTTCCCTTGGGTGAGTAGTCTGAATACAATATAAGGGAGGGAAAGAAGCTTTCTTCTCACTTTTGCACCTTTTGCTCTTGTTGCTGATTTCTGCCTCCATGAACTGATGCCCCTCTGATACACCGGTCTTGGAGCCAGCTGATTATAGACTGACACTTTCACAAACTGTGAGCTAAATAAACTATTACCTCTTTAATTTTGGGATTTTGATATTTTTCTCAGCAACTGACATTCTCTCATTTTCTTCTAATCTTAAAAAAAAGCCCTGTTATTCCCAAAAATGTTCAAAATTACTACATATTCATCACTCACCCTCTCCTCCACTGCATAATCTTCAGAGTCCCATGTATTTCTCTTGCCTCTCACATTTTCTGCCCACCCTCTCCTGCCTTTCCACTCTTCTACCCACTGAGACAGAGAGACAGTTATCTTACTTTCTATGTTTTTCAAACCCAGTGCTAATCATAGAAAAATACTCCATGAAAAACTGTCTTCCATTGGAATTTTGCTAACTGTGAGGGTGCCTGCCTTGGAAACTCATCCACACTCTGCTACAGCCCTGAGTCATTTACTGTGACTCTTGCAATCACTCTCATTTTGTCATTCTAAACATGAC